GAAAGGAAACAGTTGACAGGAGACTCAGCTAATAGAGCTAATCAAGGAATAAAGAAAGCATCTAATCAATCCCATGAGCACAGATTAAGGGTAGAGCAGTACAACGGTTAAAAGGCAATGTCTCTACAGTATTAGGAAAATAATATTTATATTCCTTATTTGTATACATAATTATAGGATCTAGTTTTGCTCTTATGATTGTATATAACAGTTACTCAATGTATAGAATAAAAATAACAAAAATACAATTCAATATTGTATTCAGACATCCTTCCCTTGCACTGATTTTCTTCATGGTATCAGAGCAAGTTATTACTTGCATTTGAATACTTTGTTTTTTTTTTTCTTTATTCTTGAATAAAATCATTCTTTTGAAATAGTCAAAACAGAGTTTCTTATCAAATCCATCATATTATATTCATGGCTAAAAACAAGAGCATGCTTACGATTCAAAGCTTCCATCAAATGGTAAGCTTGGTCTCAGTGAAGTTGTCTAGCTTTAATTTTCTACTCTGGAAATCACAAGTGCTTCCACTAATTAGGAGTGCCCAACTGATGCATCACCTTGAAGGAAGAGCACTGGAAAAATACATCATAAAGGAGAGCAAGGAAGAGCCAAATCCAGACTTTGATATATGGCTAAATAATGATGGATTACGAACTAGTTGGTTACTTGGGACACTGAATGAAGAGGCATTGAGTCTGGTGGTTGGATGTGAGACATCATCTCAAATTTGGAAATGTCTTGAAGAGCACTATCTAGCCTCAACCAAAGAACATGAGATGCATCTCAAGGGACAGTTAGCAGTAAAAGGAGGAGACAATGAACCAATTGAAAGCTTCATTAGGAAATTCAAAGGGATTTGTGATAGGCATGCTGCAATCCACAAGCCTCTCGATGACTTGGACAAGGTGTTTCAATTGTTTAAAGTTGTTGGAACCAGATATCAATCGTACAACCTTGTAGTTTTATCAAAGGCGTAGTTTTATCAAAGGCACCATATCCCACCTTCAACCAAACACTACAAGATTGCAAAATAATGAAAGGGACTTGCAAGCAGCAGAACAAGAAAGCAAGGATAAGGAACCAACATACTCTCAAGTTTTTGTGGCACAAAGGGAGAGAAGCAATCGAGGCAAGGGATACAATAGCAGACACTTTAATTCTTGAGGAAGAAGATTTGTCCAAGCTGGAAAGTACAATCATAGTTGGTCTAACCATCATTATAGAAACAACTTGATGAACAACAACCCATCACCACAGCAAACCATGCCTCAAAGTTTGCAAGCGAAAAATAAACAAAAAGGTGAGAATCCCTGTCAAATATGTGGAATTACAGGTCATACAACATTAAAGTGCTGGTATAGGTTTGATCATGCATAGCAAAGTCGTGGAAGAGGATTTGTCCAAGCTGGAAATTACAAGCATAGCTGGTCTAACCATCATAATAAAAACAACTTGATGAACAACAACCCATCACCTTAGCAAACCATGCCTCAAAGTTTGCAAGTGAAAAATAAACAAAAAGGTGAGAATCCTTGTCAAATATGTGGAATTACAGGTCATACAACATTAAAGTGCTGGTATAAGTTTGATCATGCACATCAAAGTGAGGAGCTACCACAAGCACTTGTAGCACTCACAATGGTGGATGACAAAGACCAAAATACCCACATTGACACGGGTGATACTGATCATATGACTACAAATTCAAGTAAACTTCATTTCAAGAGACCTTATCATGGAAACCAAAAGGTTTTCACCGATGATGGCACCCCATTACATATATCACATATTGATACAACATTTATTGGCCCTTTAAAATTGAATAATGTTCTTGTCGTTCCTAATCTTAAAAAGAATCTTATTTCAGTTAGTAAGTTTACTGATGATCTTTGCATATTTGATTTCTCATCCGATGGTTTTGTAATTAAGGACCAAGTAACACAGACGGTGTTAGCAAAAGGAACTAGGAATGGACAGCTATATGCTCTTGAAGAAGGATAGAAGTTTGCTCTTGCAGCCATTTTAAATAAAGCCACAGACTCCATTTGGCACCAAAGATTAGGACACCCAAATTCTAATGTCTTAAAAACTTTAGCTTCCAGAAACAATATTATAGTCTCAAAATGGAATAAAACCCCATCTTTGTGCATTGGATGCCAAATGGGGAAGAGCTGCAAGCTTCCTTTTAATAGGAGCAATGAAAGAGCTACATCTTTATTTCAAAAAGTTCATTGTGACTTATGGGGACCTTCTTTAACTCAATCTACAAAACAGTTTATTTACTATGTTATTTTTATAGATGACCACAGTAGATATACATGGTTTTATCCTCTTTATAAGAATTTTGATTTCTTTGATGTGTTTCAGAAATTCTAGAAAATGGTAGCAATTCAGTTTAATAAAAATATATAGATATTTCAAAGTGATGGTGGTGGTGAATTTTCCAGTAAGGTATTTACCAATTATCTAGCTGAGTGTGACATCAAACAGCAAATGTCTTGTCCTGGCACACCGGAGCAAAATTGAATCGCAGAGAGAAAACGTCAGCATATAGTCGAGACCTGTTTGACAATGTTAGTTCATGCTAACATGCCACCATGCTACTAGGTAGATAGCTTTTCCACTGCTATCTTTCTTATCAACAGAATGCCCACACCTGTATTGAAAAATAAGAGTCCTTATTATCTTCTCTATGGTAAGGTTCCTGACTAGTATATGATAAAAGTGTTTAGATGCTGTTGTTTTCCTTATCTTAAGGACTATGCTGCAAATAAGCTTCAGCCAAGGTCCATCTCGTGTCTTTATTGGATATAGTCCAATTCACAAAGGATACAAATGTCTACACCCTCTTACTCAACGAGTATATATATCAAGGCATGTTGTTTTTGATGAAAACTTTCTTCCATATACTAATCTCTCACAGCTTTCAAGTAATGTTAGTACAGGTGGAGAGCTTTGTAAATACCCAAATTATGATGAGTGGACACATGCTTCCTCACACTTACAACCCTCAAGAAAGCTAGATGAGCCTAGTTCTACACCAATCTCTATAGCCGTTCGTACTGACAAAGAGAAAGACAATAACACAACACCTAACACAACTCCAGTAATTACAATAGATGAGGAAAGTCCATGCTCAAACCACAATGACACAGAATTCTAGCAAGATTTATCAACAACAGCATGGATTCTAGAAGATCTTGGATCTTCTCCAGCCATGATTAATACATAGGAAGCTAAGATAGCCAGTCCATCTACATCAAGTATTGGTCAAGGAGGACAACAATTTACAACCTTCATTCACATCAAAGACATCTAGCTCAGAAAATGAAAAAGCACCACCATCTCCTCACAATACTACTTGAACATCTGTTCATCCTATGGTGACTAGAGCAAAATCAGGGAAGCATACAGGACATATTCAAACTGTGTTTCCAAAATTTACTCATGTTATGACCAGTAATACCTCTTCTCTAATTGATGCAGATGTTGACATTCGAGAACCCAAAACAGTAAGGAAAGCATTGCAACTTCCACATTGGGTCACTGAAATGGAGGAAGAACTAGAGGCACTTCATAAAAACAACACATGGACATTGGTTTTTGCACCTTCACCACAAACTAATATTGTTGGATCAAAGTGGGTGTTCAAAACAAAGTTGAATTCTGATGGCAGTGTTGATAGATTTAAAGCCCGATCGGTAGCACGAGGATACTCTTAGGTACTAGGAATGGACTTCGAGGAGACTTTTAGTCCTGTTTGAAAACCAACAACCCTACGGCTAGTCATTGCTCTTGCTACAACTTTGTCATGGCCACTTAGATAGCTAGATGTAAAGAATGCTTTTCTCCATGGCAACCTCAAGGAAGAAGTGTACATGCACCAACCACCTAGCTTTGAAGATCCAATTCATCTTGACTATGTTTGTAAGCTTATCAAATCTATCTATGGTCTCAAGCAAGCTCCAAGGGCATGGTTTGACACATTCACTTTCCAATTCTTAAAAATGGGGTTCTCTTACAATAGAGCAAATTCCTCTTTATTCATTCTTCATAATGGTCAGGACACTATATTACTTTTATTATATGTGGATGACATTGTCCTCACAGCTAGCTCATTGACATTACTACAAGAAGTTATCAATAATTTGAGTAGCAAGTTTGCCCTTAAGGACCTCGGATCTCTTAGCTACTTTCTAGGTATTGAAGTTCCCAAGTTACCAAGTTCCTAAGGCCATTTTTCTATCACAAGCTAAATATGCCAAAGATGTTCTTACTCGAGCTTCCATGCTTGAAGCTGCAACTATTGCTACCCCATTAGCGGTCAAAGACATAACTACACGAGACAATGATCCTGTGGATACACAAGAGTATAGGAAAATTGTTGGGGCCTTACAATATTTGACAATTACTAAAATTGACATATGTCATACTATTAATAGAGTTTGCCAACTCATGCAACAGCCCACTATTGCTCATCTCTAACAAGTTAAACATATTTTAAGATATAGTAAAGGGACTATGCATCATGGTCTTCAATTTTCTTCTTATAGTACATATCCTTAATTGGCTTTTGTGATTCAAACTGGGCTGGATGTCTAATTACTAGAAAAAGCACCATAGGATTTTGTGTCTTTCTTGGAGTAAATTGTATTTCTTGGTCTTCGAAGAAGTAATCTACCATTGCTCGTTCAATCGTTAAAGCAGAGTATAGAGCATTGGCATCTACCACAGCTGAGGTCACTTGGATAACCTATCTTCTACAGGACATTGGAGTTTCCCTTCCTCATCCACCTCAACACTTCTCAGATAACATTAGCTCATTACATATGTCTGTGAATCTTGCGTTTCATGCCCGTACAAAACATATTGAGTTGGATTATCACTTTGTTCAAGAAAAAATGGCTCTTGGTACTTTAATTACCGGGTACATTCTTAGTTCAGATCAAGTTGCAGATTTACTCACAAGACCTCTTCACCAAGCACAATTTCAACTATTGAAATTCAAACTGGGTTTGGTTGAATCACCTACCTCCAGTTTGAGGGGGAGTATAAAGGCAGAAAGGCAGGATCAACACATGAACCAAGTGAAGGGAAATAGTTGATAGGAGACTCAACTAACAGAGCTAATCAAGGAATAAAGAAAGCAACTAATCAATCCCATGAGCACAAATTAAGGGTAAACCAGTTCAACGGTTAAAAGACAATGTCTCTGCAGTATTAGGAAAATAATATTTACATTCCTTATTTGTTTACATAATTAGGATCTACTTTTGCTCTTATGACTCAATATAACAGCTACTCAATGTACAGAATAAAAATAACAGAAATACAATTCAGTATTGTATTCAAACATCCTTCCCTTGCACTGATTTTCTTCAGGTTAGAACTCTCATTCAATACCGAGAAGTTAAATTCAGGTAGGCGAGCTCGTAGATCTGTATCAAGGCCTGGTGCTTCATCCAATATGAAATTACGCGGAATTGAGGTCTGTATTGTCCACCCTTTTCTTCTCAAGAAATAAAGAGGAAATCCACCTGAGGCCACGGATTTGGCATGGAAGCCTCTCCAGTGTCCAGGACATTTCTCAAATTGTTGATAGATGTCATGGTGATCTGGTTCTTCCGACTCTACGTACGTCACGAACAAAGAGGCAATAGCAGCAGATGACACCATCTTCTTTGGTTAAGCTAGTGAAAGCTTCCCTGCATATCAAAATTTACATGAAATTAGATTATATATTGCAAAAGGCACAAAGGAAAACTGCCTGGGAAACTAATCTCAGCCCAATTAGTGTTACATACCCTTTATATCTTCCACGAGGTTTGATTGCATAGTATCGGTTGGCGACAATGGCTTATTAAGAACAGGAATGAACGCTACATCATGGTAAATAACATGTTTGTTCTCTCCAGCGCCAGTGGAATGCTGAACCACAAGCCTCTTGTTTTGAGGGAAATAAGGGAGGGAAGTTACTTCATAACTGTTACGTTGCCAAAACAACATGTTTCCTCAGCTTCTTCATCCTGGATGACCAGAAAACCGGAGTTTGGACCCTCTGGAGGAGGGGACGCTAGTGCTGAAGGAAATCTTTTGTGCAAGGAGAGAGGCCTTGTCACATACATCTTTGATCTTTGGTGTTTTCTTTAATTTGTTTGAAAATTGTCTCCATCTCTCTCTCTTTGTCTCTGGATTTGTTGCAGAAAGATGGATTTTGAATTTTGATTTTGACTAATCAATATCCGTTGACTATTATTAATAAGAGTATGCACGTAGGATGAGAAATAATTAAAATTTTACTTCGATGTTATAATTTTATAATTAATATTATTTTATATAAATTTATATTATTATATATTTAATTACCAAATACAACATTTAACCAAAAACTCTTCTTCTTATACATATTCTTAAACAATTTTTTTTTAACTATAAAATTATTATTTTATTTTATCTACATTTCATAAATTTAAATAAAAATATGAATTAAAAAAATTAGTAAAAAGACCTCAACCATTAAATGTGTGAGAAAACATACCTAACATACTTGTAAATGCATGACAAAAAGTGATAGGTATGTGTCGATGCACTTACTACTAACCTAATACATATGTTAGATTAATCAAATTTTATGTTAAAAATAGGTTAAAACGGCATTGTTTTTGCCCCTTTCGAATCAGAAAAAATTTTGTTCGAGCTATCTCTTTACATAAAAACAAGTTTAATTTAGAGAAATGCCTTAAGAAAAGTAAAATTCTATCTCAATTCTCTTTTGAAAGAATGATGAAAAAGAGCTCCTCTTAGTCTCGTACACATACTTTAACGTGCAGAAATAGTTAGGAAACAAAGGAATTTAAAGGTAATTGACATTTTCTTGCTTCTGTTTGGTACCTGGGGAAGTCGTTGAATGTGTGGAAATTAAGTGTATGCACATTGCGTCCAATCAAAAGAGAGCCGTCCAATGCTCAAATGGAGTTACTGTCTGGTGGAGGAGGCTACTGGGCCGCGTAATCTCTGCATAACTCAGAGTATTGTACCATAAAAAATTTGTGATGATGGATTGAGTGATAAAAGCATCTCCGATGAACTTGATTATAAAAACTCGGTTATGGCAATCCCTGCCCTTCCATCCCTCTCAATTTTTTGTGAGCTTAACTTGATTTTCAAGGTCAAAGAAGCATTTCGCCTGTTCAAGTGCAAAACGGTAAGAAACAACTTCACCGAATAACTAAACCTTTTAATTCAATAAATAAATAAATAACTTCTTTTTTTTTTTAACACGTTACAAATAGTTTTAACATTCTAAAAAGGAGAAAAAAATGTGTCATCTCAATAAATTGAAACTCAAATTTAAAGGATGTTTTTATTTAAAGGGTAAGTGGTTAACCACTTGACTTAATTGTGTGAAACAAATTATTTATTTAATTTAAAGAAAAAAAACAAAGGAAATAAAAGAGAAAATCATTTTTACTCCATTTTCTTTTAATTTCTTATTTTTCCAATGAGTAAATTTCTCCGTCTCCCCTCCTTCCCCTCCTCTAAAACCCAACAAACTATAAGTGATCAGGGGAAGACTCAAACTGGGGATGAATCTAAATACACCACTTATGGTCACTAGAGCTGTCTTGGCTTCGACCATTTTTTTGTAGTAGAATAGCTTGATCCCACGTCCCTCTATGCCAATGGCCTGGCTCAAGAATTATTGTGGCACACTGTCCACTAGGGGTCTAACCATCACCTCACAAGAGCAGCACTTACAGATGATAACATTATGGGTTAAAGTGAACAACATTTATAACAAAATATATTTTAAGAATTGAATAAACATAATCTGTCTCTTAATTAAAGTTAGATTAGCCTCTCCTTAGGGTTTCTCTCCTCTTGTCAGGTGCCTTCTCTTTTCTTCTCTTTCCTCAATGCTGCAAGCCACCTCTTCCTCCACATTGGTTGTGCTGCTTCCCCTCCTCCTTTATATATGCTGATCACGCAGGCCCTAAATTAAGTCGCACAACCCCGAAGCCACGCATCCCATACCCTGCTATTGTCTTTGCCTGAGCTAGTGTTTGAGCCTCGAAGCTGTAGATAACACTCTTGGATTCACCTTAAGCACAGTAATATCTTATGCTTATCAACTATGTCTGACCATGAGGGTGGTTGGATCCATGAGCCTAAAACAAAGAAGATGGATCATGTTCTGTGAAAGACATGGAAAAGGCTTGGAAGGGGTTTGATCCCATCACTGAGCAAGGAATGGGAGAGGATGGAAAAGAGGAAGTGAGAACTTGATGCAACTAAATATGGGAAGGCGCCTAAGGTGAGATTTGATGATTCAAGTAATGTAATGGCCATGCAGGTGGATGTTTTTCATCCATATGTACTTTAAGAGATCATCTAAGCTTGGATAAAGTATTGTAATACTAGGAGACACTACATTGGGAGACACTACATTGCCATGTCCTTTGATTTTTTATATTAAGATTAAATGGTAAAATAGATGTGATTGTCACAAATAACAATAAATTCTAAAGTAATATTTTCATATTGTTACATAGTTCAATTAATACTCATATTATGTATATTAGTGTATAAAAGTTTTTAGTTTCTAATTATCCTATTATAAGAAACACTTAACCCTATATATTAGTGTTATAAATCTTTTCTAACGTTTTTGTGTTTCTTGTAAAGCTTATATAATAGGGTATAGCTTACATTGGCTTCAATTATTTATAAAACTATACTTTTATCCTCCAAAAAAAAAAAAATCAAACGAAAGAGTGAAATAGAAGAATACTTCAAA